GTACATTACTCTTGCACCTAGTTGCAGATGAATGGAAGAATGTAGGTTGGTTTTTTGTTTGAACATTTTGTCGGAATCGGTGGTATTCCACAGTGCTGTATCTACATAATCATTTGTGGTTGATATTTGAAATTTATCATCTGACATGGGTAGCATATTGCATATCATTCTGTTCATCTGTTGTACGTTTTCTCTGAAGCCTACTATATGTGTGGTGTTCAGCAAGGTGTTTATTGTGGGGTGGTTAAGGAATTCAGTGTGAGGTTGGTATAGCATATTCCACGTTTCTTCAGAGATTGAGCTCATTCTTACCTTTTGCAAGAGGTTGTAGAATCATAGATCAGCATTTTGTCTGTGAGGAGTTTTCAAAAATAAGGGGTAGAATAGTGACCAGATCGATGCTCGAAAGAGATATTGTCTTGTGACTAGTGGTAGTTGCAAAAATCACTGACGACAATTATGTTGATGCCACCAAATGTTATTGCATTATTATGTAGTCTGGCGAATAGGTTGGATATGAAATCTAGCAACTCTGTAGAAAGCATTAATATCTCATTGATTATTATGGTGTCTATTTGTTTTAGGCTGGAGTTGAGTTTTTTGTTGGTGAATACTCATGTGAAAAATGTTTTGTGATTGGATGTTATTTGTAATTCGGAGTGTATCATTTTTCCATTTATGTTTTGGGCAACTACACACATTGGAGCTAGTAGTAGATAGTTAGAATATTTTTGGGCTAGCAGTCTTATGATCATGTTAATGATATAGGATTTTCCGGTTCCAGCTAGCCTGTGATGAAGAAAAAGGCCACTTGTTGTTGCTTATTTGGCCCATGTATATAGATATGGTGGATAGTACGTTATATTGGTCTTGGGGTAGTTCGAGTGTTGCTATGGGAGGGATAATGTGTAGTAGAATTTTTGTTTTCTAGCTATATTTGGATTATGTTGTGAAGGTCGATGGGTAGTTGGTGGCTTAGTGAGTGGAGTAGCTTGTTTAATATTTTGGCGAATTGGGTATTCATATTGGATATTTTTGTGTAGTATGTTGTTGTTTCTTGGTTTTGTAATTCGTCATGTATATTTGAAAATAGTGATAAATATTTTTCCTTGTAGGATCCTGTTGTGTTTGTTTTGTAGTCATTTTTGCTTCTCGTGGGTATATTTAGAAGTATTTGTTGATAAAAGTAAGGTTCATCATCTTCTATCTTTAGTAGATGATATCTGATGATTATTTTTTTCTTTCTTTTTATTATGTAGTTTCCTAATTCATCACAGTAGGTATGATGTGATGATGTTTGTCAGGAGAGGGTGATTAAGTATCTTTCATAATATTGTGAGTAAGTAATTTGTTTAAATTGTAGATCACGGGGTCGATTCATATATTTCATAATTGTGTCATTATAGTAGGGGTTTTCATTTTCTTCTTTTATCATATAGATGGGAATTACTGAATGAGTTCTTGTGGTTGGTGGGTCTGTGGTAAGGAATTTTATAGTGATTGATGAGTTGCATATTTGGTGACCCAAGAGGAGAAACATTAGTTCCATCGAACCAAGCCTTCATGCGATGAGGTGCTCTCTTAGTGTATTGTTTTCGTGGATGTTAAACAGGTAGGTGGGTTCTGCTTTTGAGATATATTTTGCCATATACTGTGCGAACCCTTTGCTTGTTATGTATTGGGCGTTCATGTGAGCGTCTCAAAGCAATAGTGTAGGAGCATGATATGGGATGAAAGGACCCCAGAAACTTATATTAGATGTTCCCGTTATGTAGAATAGGTAAAGTTTATATAGAAAATTTTCTAATATTACCGGCTAAAGTATAGGTAAAGTTATTAGTAAAGGAGTGAAAATCTTACCAAAAAAAGAAATATCACACAAAAATATGCGAAGTTATGTGATCTGCTTTCCTTTTACAGTAATGATTATTGTTTTTAGCCAATCAGCTTGCAAGTAAAAAAATGATAAAATTGGCTTCATTTTGCTGGGAATATCTAATATAAGTTTTCAGGATCCTGGGACGACCTATGAATTCGCTTCCATCAGACATTTATATACATAATGGGAGTCTTCCTGGTAGCAGGTAGATTGACAGTAGAGATGAGGGAAACCCTTTTTGCAAGTTTGTGATAGGGCATTAGGTGTTCTACATTTCTCGTTGCAGATATGTATCTGGTTGTTAATAACGGCGGTGTATAGTTCCAGTTCATATATTGGGTCTGGCATGGTTAATCTTATTACATTATTTGAGATCATGATTTCAATAGTTTTGGTTGTCCAGTAGCAGCTGTGGGTGTGGGTGACTCCTCTGTTCTGGAATTCGACTCTGTCAAAGAAATTAGTGATATTACCAAATTTTGTTATATCGGGTTTCTTGTAGAGTTCTTTTTTTAGGGATTAAAATCAATAGACGAAGTAGTTTGCGCAGTGGAATGGTCTGTTCGTTGGTAATGTGTCCCCGTTATCGCTGTTTAGGAGTATGTTTTAAAAGTGGGACCATCGATTTTCCGCAATGGTTAATGTTATGGTAAGCCAAGTTTTCATATCATTGCATTTAGATGCAATTGTTTTTGGTAGAAATACGTGTCTCCAGTATGTATAAAGGTTGGAATAGCTGTAGTTAAGTTTTCGTCGACAATGTTGAATTAATTGTAGGAGCTTGGTCTAAGCAGTTGTTTTCCCATTAGTAGACATGTGTTTGTAGTTGAATCGATTTGTGTAAATTGCAATATTTGCTGAATGTTTTTTTGATTTAGAAGGTCTCGAAAGTGACCGATTCCATCGGTGAATATGTCCAGAAAAAGTAGAGGTTCTAGGTTGGGATTGTGCGTGAAAATTGGTAGGTATGGGGAGTTTTCTTTCTGTATAAAACCTGCAATTAGCCTTGTGTAGTGAAAGTCCTCATTGTGCACTTCCTCAGATAAATTGTAATTGGGTACTATTATCTCAGGTGAGTTAACAGGTAGTGGGTTTTGAGTAGTTTGCGAATGTTTTGCTATTGGGAAGGGGCTGTTTTGATTAAGTTGCGGTATTAAAGTTGCAAAGGGTATAGATACAAATTGTTTTCTGTTGGCCAATTTGCTGCATGTTGTAAAATCGGGTTATAATTTTGGGTATTGTACAAATTATTATTAGTATTGTTATTGTTGTTTGGTTCTAGGAAAGTGCCAAGTGATCCCATGTATAGCACGTAAGCTTTAATATTATACAAGTAACCTATAGTGCTAGTTAAGCTCTTGTATTTGGTGTAGGGGTTGCTGTTCGGGGTTCTTCCCAAAGAGCAGTGCAGATAAATGGGCGATAGATTTTTTCTTATATGTAGGGGTACTGAAGTGATTTCTTCTGGCATTAGTGAGAGGTGAGGAAACTGGAATCTCGTGGATGGTTTTTTGCAGGCGTCGCAGACAGGTATCCTAGGTTGTGTGATGTGATTGGTATTGGAATTAAAAGATAAGTGAACATTTGATATATGTTGTTGTATTGAGTAAGTAATTATTGGATCGTGAAATACCCAAGAAGCTTTTTCGGGATATAGAAGCCTGCTACAGTATACGTAGGTGATTCGGAGCCACTAAATTAAAATAGTATTTTGGAATCTGTCATATAGTCTTTGGAGTTTGGAGGTTGGTCTCCAATATTTGCAAGTATGAAGATTATCGTTCATGTCTGTATCGGGGGTTTTGATATCAGTGTCATAATGGTTATCGGATTGTTGCAGTGCAAATTTGAATGATTCTTCCAACAGTGTTTCTTGCTTGTTGTTGTATGTATATATGGTATTGAGTCTATGTGTCTTTTTTTTTTTTTTTTTTTTTTTTTTTGTATATTCCGTGTATGTATACGTTTTGGTTGTTGTTAAAATGTAGATATTTATTTATAAGTTTCGTTTAGAATGTATGCAGATAAGCGCGGTTAACGTGCGTGTACATATATGTTCGTTGTTGACAGAACACAGATATATACGTTTTTATAGAGCACAGTTATGGTCGTTAAATTTTTTTAGAGTAGGTACAGGTAGGTGTGGTCATGATATAAGAATAATTTAATCATTATTTAATGTGTATTTGTGGGTTCGTTTAGAACAGATATGGGTAGATATGGTTATGATATAAAAATTAAATATAATTATAACATGTACTTTATTGTTTTATATATACAAGGTGTTGATTATTAGATTTACAAATAAGTTAAGTTTTTTTTTTTATCGGTTTAATCTTTGGTTTTGTTTTAGTGTGTATAAAAAAAAAAAAAAATGCCTTTTTTATTTAGTTAAATAATATAGAAAGTTTGTGAGTTAGAAATTTATAAGTTATTTAAGTTTTTTTTTTAATTAATTAATCTTAGAAAAGTTTTTTAAAAAGTCTCGTGAAGAAGTATTTTATTTTTTTTTTGTTTAGGGTTTTCAAAATAATTTTTTCTGTAATGTTATTTAGTTCAATTATTTCAGTTTATTTGTGTTCATTAATAAATAATTAATTAAAGTTAAAAGTTATATTATATCGGCACGTCATTATTAATTAATTATTATATCAGCATGTAGTCTTTATTTTTTTATTTTTTTTTTATTTTAATTTTTTTTAATAGTTTTTTTTATTAATATATTTATTAAATATTATTATTTAAATAGGAAGAAAATTAATTCGGTATGGATAAAGTTAATATAATACAAAATTAATATTTCATGCTTGAAAATTTATTTTATTATATGTGATATAAATATAATAACATAGTTTATTATAGTTATACTTTAGTAAGTAGTTATACAAAGAGGTAGATTTTTTGATAGTAAGGATAAAATTTGTAGGTAAGAAAAAAAAATAAAACTAAATAAATCAATATAGTGTTTGTATTGTTTTTATTTATATAGTGTAAAATAATGATTTTGAAAGTAAATATTTTTTTAGATGGATAGTAATAATACAAAAAGAGAAATTTTATTTACAAGGTTAGTTTATTTAGCGTTTTGGGGGGTTTCTTGGCTAGTTTGATTTTGAATAGGTTATTCATTTGTTATGGTCGGAATAGGATTTTTATTAAGAGCTTCTGAAAGATTTTGTTGAGTCGAAGTAGCATTCATATTCGATAGTAAAGCTTTTTTGATATTTTTCGAGGGTTGTGGAGTGGCGCCGTGTGGTTGATGATTTGTTCTTTGAGAGTATCTGGGTATACTTGTCTGAGATAACCAGAAAGCAGTCGGTATTTGTATATTTGAGAAATCACGATTTGATGTAATAATAGACAAATCTTCTAGGGTTACAATATGTTTTCCTGAAGATATGTTACTGTTGTATTGGTAACTTATAGTACCAACCAGCATCGCAGTTGTTAGTCATGCATTTTGGTTTATTGAGTTTGTTTTGTTTGAAAGGTATCTGTTATCGGAACTATGTTTGACTTCTACCAAGAAGTTTGATGCTTCTTTATCTCTGATTCTTTCTTCTATATAAAACTCAAGAGTCAAATCATTCTCAACTTTTTGACAGTTTGGATAGTAACTCCCACTGTGACCGAATTAATACCTAATGCCGGCATAGTATTGAAATCAAAATCTAATGTTTTGATCGATGTAGCACTTACTTTAAATTTTTTTTTTATGTTTGATTTTTTTAAAAAAGGTTAATTTATTAAGCAGTTTTTTTTTAGGATGAAGAAATAAGGAAGGAAACCAATATACTGAATAATAGTTGTTGTTTCCTATGAATTTTTCTTTTAAATATATTACACCCCAGTTTCGAATAGTTCGATAAGTTCATTTGTCATTTCGTTTATAGAGAGGAAGGCTTTTATATTCAAGTACATTATTTTTGTCGGGTCATCGTCTTGTAATTTTATGATACTTGTTACTTCCTTTATAATATATTCCCGAGTGATTCTTTTTGTACAGAAATGAACATAGCAGATGGCCGATAGTTTGGCAGGCATCTTTTACGTATATATATTTTATTTAATTTATTTATTTTTTATTTTTTTTTAAAAAATTTAGAAATTGAAAATTTGTTATTTTTTTTAGAAATCGAAACTGGGAAATGAAAAAATATGTTTGAGAAAGTTTGAGAAAGTAATCGTGATATTTATAAAATTTTATTTTTTTTTTTATTATTTTATTTTATTTAGATTGGTTTGTTATAAATAAATTATTTTTATTTTTTTATTTTAAATTTTAATTTAAAAAAATTATTATATTCATTTCGGCAATCAGTATTATAAAATTCATTTTCGGTTGGTAATTTTTGCGTCATAAATTTTTTAGCGGTTTGTATTTTTTTTTTTTTTTGTTATAAAATTGTTTGAAAATGTTCGAAAAATTTATGATACAATAAAATAAGTACTATTTATTCCCCGGGATGGTGGGAATAATAAAATATTTTCCCAGAGGTGTATGTATAGGGCACAAAGCACCCTATACAAACATTTTTGGGAGAATATTTTAATTATTTCCCTAGTACGGTGGAATAAATGAATTATTCCTTGTCTGATTATGATTGTTTAACAGGATTTACATTTTTACATTTTACATTTTATTAATCGTAACTTGTATTACAAAATTTTTTCTTTTTTTTTTTCTATTTGTTATTTCCCCTGGGTTGATAACAATAAAGTCTGGGTGATAACGAATAAGAAAAAAAAAAAAACCAATTTGCAATGATAATTGTGATTAATAATACACGAATCCCCGTCATGCGATCATAATGAAACAGGAAATAACATTTTTTTATTACACCGTTTAACTTTAACTTGAATTTTTTAAATTATTTTTAAAATATCGGATTTTTTTTAGTGTGTTTTAATTTTAATTTTAATAATATTACCATAACGGGTATAATTTTTTAAAAAATATTTACATTTTCATGAAATCATTTAGTCAGGTTAGTAATATTCATGAGAATTTTTTTACATTCTTCGAATTTTGTAATGTTTACCTTTTTTAGTATTTGATTTCTGTATTTTTTTAGTAATTAATTTTTTAGTGTATTTTTTTTTTTTTTTTTTAATATTTAAAGAACATAAGTTCGATGGAGGGTGAGTGGGCAGTATTTTGTTCGTATTTTCTAACTAAATTTTAAATTAAATATTTAAAATAAAAATATCAATTTTTAAAATCTAAAATATAAATCTAAATCTTAAATAGAATACGTATTAGAACGTATTAGAAATAGAGTATTTTTAAAAAACAGAAAGAATTTTTTTCCTAATTTGTTTAAAATTTTTTCCTAATTTGTTTAAAAAATCCAACCAAAAAGGATACGATTGACAAGTGTTTTGTTAATTTTGAACCAGAACTATCTCGAAAATTACCATTTTTTTACTATTTGTATTACCATTTTACATACCCGATTGGGAAAAAAAGACCAAACGAAATAGAATAAGTTTAACTTCGAGCACTGGCATATTCGGGAATGCGGGTAATATAATCAAAAAATAAAAAATCTTCCGCCACGCCTATGAATATTTTATCTATTAGTCTGATATAGTGACTGGACTCGTCAACTCGTGACTCGAATAATTCGATTTCGAATCATAAATTTTTTAACTCGCGAGTACTCATGAGTGAAGTTTATAGATGCTGCATAAATAATGTCGTAATTTTTACGTAATTATATGTAATTCTTTAAAACTTAAATAAACTATACGTAAAGTACGTAATTTATTGCAGTCGCAAATTTTTTAATAAAAATAAAATAAAGATTTATGAGAATGTCAAAACACAACTACCCATATGTCTAAAAGTAGACCTACCTTGTGAACTTGTAATGGATGACAGGAAGAAAATGGTACTCGTATAATGATGGACTTCAATTTTAAATTAACCATCTCGCCCGAAAGCACAAATATTTAAAGATAGTTCTAGTCGATCTAGAGATATAATTATGAATCAGTTTTATTGCATTTGTAACTTGTAATTGATATATTTGTTTTATAACACATAAATTGCTTCGTGTAACTCGCTTTTGTAACTTGCAATTTATAAAATTTATCAATAAACCAATTGCCATGACTCGAATTACTCGAACAAAACTCGACTAAGTAATTCAATCGAATGATTCGAGCACTCTTCTTGGCTTAATTCTCGAGTCACGAGTTTATACGAGCCCAGTAACTAGTCTGATAGATCATCCTGCCTCTCAATTTGTCATTGTAACATCCTGTCGATATTAACTGACCATTTGCCTAAACCACTTAAACAAAGAAAGTTAAAACGAAATATAAAGATAAAAGTTTTCTTTAAAAACCCTCTCATGCCACTGAATATCACTAAATGTTACTAGACTTTAATCTAATGGCAATTTACAACTAATTCATGGGCATCATTAGCAAAATTAGACAACGCAAACTATTTCATTAGAAAAACCATTGTTCCTATTTTAACAGATCGAAGATTAAAAATATTTAAATCATCTTTTATTAGTTCAATTGGCTTTCATTATGTTATTCGTAAGCAATCATAACAGGCTATAAAAAAATTCATAGTTAATTTACAAAGTATTTGTGATAGAAATTAGCTTTCGTTATCTTCGTAGTCCACTTCTTCGTAATCCACTTCTTCGTCAATTTCCTCTCCTTTAGAACCAGTATATTCTTTTTCATCCTCATCACCAAATTCGATACTTATAATTCCATTCCAAGTTATATAAGCAGTTACGAAACAAATTGCTCCAAATATTGACAAATTTCTCGTTCTTTCAAATTTGATTTGTGCTTCAGATTTTTCTCTTTTTACTTCCTCAATATTAGATCTCCAAATATTGCGACTAAACCATGTACGAGGAGAAGTGAAAAGACCTGAAAAAAATGATGGGAGATCGGTAGACGGCAAATGACTAATCGGCCGTGAGGAAAGTAGATCTTTCATTCGTTCACAAAATCGGGCAAGTCGTGGATAATCAGTATTAAGAATAGTAGATAACTCTGAATCGGGAAGTTCTGCATATAAATGAAGGGCCAAATAACTATATGCAATAGCATCCAAGGAAGATGGCCTGGTTGTAATAATTTCAAGATTAATTTATTCCAATTGTAATATTAAACTAGGGTTCCTATCAAATCAAATCAAATCAAACTCTTGCCAAGTTTGAATTTGGGTTTGATTTCAAATCAAACTCAAACTCAACCTTTTTTTAAAATTGAGTTTGGTTTGAGTTTGAGCTTAAACTTTTTAGTTAAGTTTGGTTTGATTTGAATTTGATTT